TTTGAATATCTCAGCCTCTCACAAAGAACGAATTACAAAGGAATGGTAAGTAGCGGCCATTAGAAGACCGAATCATAGGTGGACGGTCCAAGTGGAACGGTCAGAGTAGGTTAAATTGATTAAATAATTTGCGGCTCTTGGTAGGCTGAACCGTAATTTCTGAAGCAAACGGGTAGTCCGAACCATGGGAAATATGGAACGGCCATAGTCCTTAAAGGGACTCTGGAGAAAATTCAAGAAAATTTGCTGAATAAACAAAATAAACTTTCTAAAACCTAATTTTCCAGAAGTATTTTGCCTATGAAATAATACCTCGGTGCAGTTAGATTCAAGTAATCACGAATTGCCGCATCTAGCATTTGAGGATCAATGGATGTCTGGGCAGTGGATAGGCCAAGGCGTGCCACAAACATATTTATTGCTTCTGGAGGAACACCCCGGCGACGAAGCGCTGTTAGCGTGAAGAGTCTCGGATCATCCCAATCTCTATAAAATCAGCGGTGAAAAAATGAATACAGTCAAATAAACCAACAAAAAACATTTTCCATGTGCAAGACGATTTTGAATTTTGATCAACTTCTAGTCAATAAAACACACATCGTCGGCTAAACGTGGACAAGATTTTGACACCCAACACGCATCAAGCACATCTCAAAATTTTGGCTAAGCCGATCGTAGCAATCAGATTGACCCTGGAAGCCTAGGTGGCGAAGGCGTAATAGATTACAGCATGAAAGAACAGTATGAGAAAAGAAGGTAATATGAATATTTTATGGTTATGAAAAAAAGTTGCGAAAAGTAAAAAAACAGTAATTAAAAGTAAAAATGAAAAAATAAAGATTGAATTGGAATGTTCCGGTCCATTAAGTCACATACATTCCCATCCAGTGCCACAGTTGGACCTTGCCAGTGTGACAGTTGCAGGAGAAGTATTAAAAATAGGCATGATGGTGAATTAAAGACAGAAGTGGGAAATAAAGAAAATAAAAAGTGAAAAACAGGAATAAAAATAAATAAGAGTGAGATAAGACGTTTCGGTCCATTAAATCTTAACAGATGCTTGTGTTAAGGGAGAATCACTGAGCTGGAAATCTTTTTTCGAAAAACGAAACGAACGTCAGGATCGCTAGCAGACGGACCACCAGATCATGCAGCATTGATCCAAGAAGCTCAGTAAATTACCCCAATTTTACCGTTTTAGAAAAATGTACTATTAATTAGATCTGATTTAAAACATTCCCAGTATTTTGGTTAGCTGTTAAACTCATATTTGCACTATTAACGCAATCTCGACAGCTTTCCACGATTCCAGTACTAAAGCTAGATTCTGGTGCTCCTATCCCAGCACTCTTGGGCATTTTTCATAAAATTTTACGCCTACATAAATAAAAATAAAGCAAAATTCATTAGCTCACCGGATAATTTTATTATCAATCAATGCTTTGATTTTGCGTTTCGAAACCACCGTATAATTGATATTCAGACGACCATATTCCCATTGTACAGGACAATAGATATCCAAGGCATTACACAACCAATAATAGCTGCTACGTCTGCAAAACAAGAATTTTGAACTTGTTTTTTTTAAAATCTTTTCTTAAATGTCTTTTTTAGATGTTTTTTTTCAAAACTTCCTTCCTTTCCTTTCCCTCATCGCCCCATTCTCACTCCCGCTAATCCCACAGTCATAGCGTTTCCCTTTCTTTCCATTCCTCTTTCTCTTTTCCCTTCCTTTCCCATTAAGCACTGCGACAGTCGTCATACTGACAAGATCCTGTAGCTGTGTTGAGTTAAAACGTATATGACTTAATGGACCGAAAAATCTTATCTCACTCTTGCACTCTTTTCTCGTAATGATTCTTCTTTCTGTGTTTTTGTCGCGCCTTCGCCATTTTGGCTTCCAGGGTCAACCTGAGTGATATTGTCTCTGAAAGAGGGTAAATACCTATGGAACTGAGGCCGGCGATGGTGGAGAGGGGGCGAGGGGAGGGGTGGAAAGTAGGGTTTAGAAAAAAGCGCATATTTTCTGAACATCTCTAACCTCGATTGAAATTCTTTGGTACATAACGAATGTGTAATGTT